CTTTTCTTTTCTTTTCTTTTCTTTTCTTTTCTTTTCTTTTCTTTTCTTTTCTTTTCTTTTCTTTTCTTTTCTTTTGGTGAACTGGTAGGTTCTTCACAGGTAATAGTGCTTGCAGGTGGACATTTATACAACCATCTCCTGATTCTTTATTAATTTGAGAAGCGTCCATTACATGTTTTAATCTCTCATTGGTTAAGATGATCTCAGTGTATTTGGTATCCTCAAGTCTTGATCAGAGATTTCTGAAGGATGCTGTTACAGATTTTTGTTTTTTTAATAAAGCTTAAATCCCTGATTAAATATTTTGTAACATTACTTTTGTGGCAGTATTTATAATTAGCCTTACACAGCAGTAATGAGAAACTCAGTTTTCTCCAGGTCTTCTACTACATTACCAGTTATTAATGCATACCCAACTTCTCCTTCTCCTATGAAGGGCTGCAAATAAATTGAACCTGCTGAAAACTATACCTAGCTTCTGCACGAATTTCTCATGGTATTAGTACTGCACATGGAACTCTGTCATAAGGATGAATACGTTTCTATCTAATGTCACCCAGAATAATGGAACTCCTACTGCATTTGAAGATTCCACTCCCCACCCCATCCCTACTCCCAGTATCTCTGAGGCATTGTATAGGAGCAGAACAAAGTTCACATCTGGAATGCATATTTGCAGTTCAGATTTCTTTTTTATAAGAAATTGTGCATATGCAGGAAATGTACCTGAGGCTGATTTATTCTAGAACCAGTAGTACTGTAGGCATAGTCCAGAGCATAGGTCTGGTAGATGTGGGTAGCATTTGGGTAACTGTGCCATACAAGACTGACTAGTATGGCCCTGAAAGGCAACCTCACAACATTTATTTAGATGACTGTGGATATTTCCTGTTCTTACACAATTTAATCCTTTTTAGAAAGCTATGCTTACTAAAGAGGCATCCTATTAGAGGGTCCATAAAAATTCACGCTTCACTATTGAATATGCACTATTGAATACTAGAGCAAGCACAACATTATAATATGAATATACAGGCTGAATCTGTATGTTTCTCACAACTGAACAAGTAAAAAGCTGTTTTTTCTTTATGGGTGATATGCATCAGAAACTCATGCCTCTGTAATTCTCTTCGTATCTGCCCCACTAATGGGATTTATGATGGGATCAGATTTGATGCCATGTAGGACAAAGGGATAGCAGTCATGGATAAGTGTCCTACTGAAATATGGGGCTGATGATGGTGCCAGTAGAAATCTTTGCAGTCCTTCAATCTATATTTGTTTTATAACATTGTATTTGTGTTTAATTAAAAAGAAGCTTGGTAATTGAATGAATTGTGTATAAATCATTTGCTGAAAAAAATCTTCTGCGCACAGAAGGGCCCAGCCATTTCTTTTACTCACTATCAGATAATTTACATGTTTATCACATTTCCCATGTTAACAGCAACTCGTGTTTGTATCCAAAAATCTAATCCAAAAAATCTTCTGCTGTGCTGAATCTGTACTTAGCACAACCATGGACCAACTGTTCAGGATCCAAGCCAAATCTTTTTACAGGTCTGATGTAAGGTGTTCTGAAATGAACCTTAAAAAGATGCACCATTTTAGTCTGGGAGGTACTGTTCTGCCCAAATATAAACATCTCTTTCCTTCTTCATTTCTGCCACTTAGGAGGTTGGAAATATGCCTTCATTTATGCTTAATGCAACCACAAGGCATCCAATTGCCTTTCCAGAAACGTAACTTTAGCTATTTTAATATATTGGTGGAGAGATCAGGGTATATTCACAGTTTACACGGTCAGTGCGTTGTGCGCATGGACACTGTTGTTACACTGGCATTTTAAACACATGCACATTTTTAAACATCTGTGCATATGCACTTGGGCCAATATGTCCAGACACTTGTACATTAACGTTTATCTATACATATAATCCAAAGTTTTATGATTTTTCATAGACGTCATCAGTGTTTAATAATTTCTTGTCCATGGGGGAGATATTTAGCAAAACACTAACAGCAGGCACAGGAATGACATATGTGTGCTTGCAGAATGTTTGTACGCAGGACAGTGAAGATTTCACTTAAATACAGATACGTTGGGCACAACATATGTGTAGACTTCAGAAAATATATGCACTGATTTACAGGAAGAAAGCATATGTTTGTATTATGAAATTGGCTAGGAGCACTGTCCCAAATACATAACGTAGAATCCTCTAGACCACTGAGTGACCGATTAGAACAGCCCTTCCTGTTTGTTCCTACTCAGATGAGGATTTCATTTTGCATTGACTGAATCCCACTATCTGAATGGGAAGGAGGTAAGTTTATCTCCTACCCTTTTCCCTAAAGTTGCAGAGGGCTTTAGGGACAAGAGGCTATATGTAGGCGAGACTACAGTGTAAACAACAGGGAGATGAACAGCCTGACAGTTCAGTAGGGAGTAAATGTTGGGGCAGGAGAATGTGGAGGGGCAATCTCACCTTTGAAGATTTTTAAAGCTGCATACAGGAGGAAGGTTTGATTGTTCTGGGAAGGGCTTGGAAAGGTCTTTAAAAAGACCTTTTCTTTTCTAAAATTGGACAGGGTCCATCTCATTTAAATGAGATTTAGCTTCCAAATGTCTTAAAAATGTTTGACCTATTATGCAAACATTTCTCTTTCTGTCTCTCTTTTAATGGCTAGGTTCTTGTTTATCTTGCTGGGTCCAATAGGGAAAGGACAGCAGTATCATGAGATTGGAAGGTCAATGGCTACCCTCATGACTGATGAGGTAAGTGAAATAGGCATCATTTCCACTCTCTAGACCATGCACATAGCTTTGGATTAACCACATCTAAAAGAACAGGAACGGAGTCATAGAAGAGTTGTAAAAGTCAGAAATAGTTTATGTATTGAAAGGTGTACACCAGGCCATTACCAAATTAGGCCATTGTCAAGTCAGGAAAGTTTCAGCCTTTTTGAAAGAATATGTGCCTACAGAATGTCAAGGGGAAATAAGCACATGGTCTTATAAAACCTCTCTTCCATCCCTTCCTCTCATGTAATCATAGTCACAGTAGTAGCAGGTTAATTTATTTCTGCCTGAAAGTACAAATATGTATTATGTTTGTTTCCTTAATGCAGTGTTACTTACTATTTCTAGCACACAGTTGATGCAGAAAGTAATTTTATTTTTGGTTCTTTTGTTTTATTCTGCTGGCAGGGATTGGGAGGCCCGTAACATTGTGCTGTCCTTATAGCACAATTGAAAGCTCTAAATGTGGGAAAGAAGGGAGAATTTGCCATTGGCCTCTCATTTTGGCAATGAATTTGTTCCTCACAAAGAGGGAGTCTATATGATAATTTAAACAAATGAACGAGCAAATAAAAACCTCTTATTGACTGTCCCATCATTTTCTTGAGCTTGTCTTTTCCAGGAATTGAACCCCTAAGTTTCTGTTCCTAACCATGGAGACATCAAAATGATGAAATGTGACATTACAGATAAGCTCTATCCTTTTGTACTTTCGATGTCTCATGCAAGTGTGTAAGGGGTGAAGTTTGTATTGCAACACGTATTTTATCACTCCCCCAGCCTCGGTCCCAATAAAACACATTATGGACATTTTCTTTAGTGATGCGTGCCCCCTTCCCTGTTAATATTTACATTAAAAGAAACAATGACTGGGTTCACATATTGTAGTAACCCATAATATGTGTAACTTAGCTTCGCATTCACGCATTAAATAATCACAGTCAACTTTATTCTTTTTTTAATGAGCCATGGTTCGGCAGCTGTGATTTAGTGTGACGTATAAACTCAACTATGTGAAAAGTGTTTGATGCAACAGAGATACTCTGATAAAGGTACTTAATACTGGTGGGGTCCTCTGAGCACTACTTACGCAAGGATGCTCTTTTACTACATGGCAAAATATATGAATCTGTATATTGTTCCACATGCAAGGTAGATTATTTTGAAGTCTTACCTATTTTCCAGAATCAATAAACTGATAGTTGGCCAGTCAGACGAAGATTTTGTTTGACAGAATATATGGGAGAATTAGAATCAATGCAGCTATTATTTGTAAGTAAATGTCATGAATAATACATTTACTCTTGGTCTCCTGTCTGTATAGGTTTTCCATGATGTTGCTTATAAAGCCAAGGACCGAAGTGATATTTTAGCTGGCATTGATGAGTTTCTGGATCAGGTGACAGTGCTGCCACCTGGGGAATGGGACCCATCAATCAGAATTGAGCCGCCTAAAAACGTTCCTTCCCAGGTAAGCTGTGCTTACTTACTTCTCTAGCCCATTAAAACAAAATGTCAACATTTTAAAAACATCAAGTCGAATATGGGGGGTACTGTCTATAAATTAGATGGGTAGAATCCTAGCACAATATGTGGTTGTCATTTGTTGGCTGATCGCTAAGGTTCCCTAGAGAGCTGCCTAAGCTTTTGGGCCTGTTGCAGTTGCAAGGAAAGCAAAATGACTCTCAGATGCTACGTTGACAATAAGGCAATTGTGTGCAAATGAGACTATGACATTGATAGGGCTTTTGGTATACAGTATTGTTGCAACTGTAAGATTAGGTTTAGGCCCCAATTTTTTTTTTTTTTTTAAGGTCACCCTGCCTTGGATTGATTCAGATGTCAGCAGAATTGAGTTAATTTGTCAAAATTCCTTTTATTAGGATAAGAGAAAGATGCCAGGAACGCCAAAGGTACCTAACGGAAAGGTTTTTGATGATGAGCCGGACGATCATGGGGGGCCAGAGCTCCAGAGGACAGGAAGGTGAGTTCTGGGAGCTTTCTGTGGCTCCTCCTGAAGCAGCGATAGGCAACCTTTTTACAACCTAGTGCTGCATTTTAAAAGGTATTTGACCTCTGTGGCCTGCAGGGAACGTGGCCAGTGACCTCCTGGCATCACTGCAATGGAGAGGTTCAAATTATTGACTTATTTTTGGGGTGCTTTAAGGGGTTAAATGTCTCAGGGCTTAAGATGCTCACTGTCTCTCTAGAATGAAAAACATTGGCACAGTTTGGGGGAGAGGGATTCAATCATTATTAAGGAATGAAATAACTTCTCCAAGGTTTTAAGATTTTTATTTTGCCCAGTATTACTACAAACTGCACACAAGGGACTTCGCGTGGCTGTAGAAGTAGTGGTTGCAGGCCACATACTGTCCACACATTTACTAAAGGGAATTTTCCCATCTTTCATAACAGGGGCACTGTAAGACTCAGGGACATCTTATGAACTAGGTAGTAAATTTAGGATGGTGACATCTGGACAACTTTTGAAGCATTGGGCCAGATGACTTTTGCTGGCATTGAGGGCTATAGTGAGAAAGCAAGCTGCTGGTAATATGAATTACCATATTTGCTGGTAATATGAACAGAGGAATTTAGATGCTTCATTACTACAGTTTGGCAGTCTTAGTGATTCTATAATGTGTAAATCCATCCTGTAAGGAATGCCTAAATAAGATGCAAATGAGATTCCGTGGCCAGATAGCTCTCCATTCATAGTTAGCTGATCATCTGGGTAAAGACAATAGTTTTTCATAGCGGCATCATTTGCACACTCACATTTTTTAAACCAATGTCAGTTTGGCCCAGATAAGGGTTTGGACTAGTGGTTTAAGGCACCAGGCTAGAAGGCAGGAGGCGGTGAGTTCTAGTCCTGCCTTAGGCATGAAGCCAGCTGGGTGACTTTGGGCCAGTCACTCCCTCTCAGCCCAACCCATCTCACAGGGTTGTTGTTGTGGGGAAAATAGGAGGAGGAAGGAGTATTAGGTATGTTCG